TTTCTCAAATACCCCATTTTATTTATCATTGTTGAACATGGTCTCCAGTTCGAATCAGCATTGCCATATGTAAAACCATCCCATGTGGGTAAATTTTAAAAGGAGTGAAATCTAACATTATATAGCTTTGTATTTCTAGATACAGTATATTACAGAAGGTCAAATATACCACCTCTGTGTACTTACAGCTATAAAAAGATACATTAACTATAGCCATTATAAATAAGGTTGAATTCCATATTAAAGGCATTATCATACAGAACAGAAACTGTCTAACGCACTACTTTGAAAGGGAGTGTTGTGGATGAGGAGAAATCTCGATTTAACAACTTTACTGGTAATAAAAGCAATAAATGTTTCTAGTGGAGAAAGGTGAATTACTTATCTCTGGCAAGGAAGAGAACCTTAATTCAAATATGATTTTTCTCTACACACACGCTGCTTCTGACTGTAATGTTTCAGTACTATTATCACTCCAAATTAATCCTCAGACACAAGCACCCCTTTCTCCGATAAGAAAAGTATTAGTTAATAACAGTAAAAGAACCTGAATGAACCCGGTTTGTTTGGTTTGCTGTTTAAAGCTGTAGGCAAGTACTTTTGGCTCCCGGAGTTAACATGGGAACTTACTTACACATCATTTGCAGATACCTAGAGGAAAAGCAAAACTCATCACTTAAATGAATACCTGGATGGGACTTTCAAAAAGCAGAGCTGTATTATAAGCCTGGCCTTTCCAGTGTGTGCATTTTACTAGCCAAAATGAACGATGGAACTGTGGGTAAGTATGCAAAGCACAAAGGCTCATTGTAATGGATTATCCAAGGTGGTAGTGGTGCACAGGTTTTGTAAAAAAGAAAAAAGAAGGTGGATTATGACTCTGATTGGTCAGCGCTGGAGCCTACTCATCTCTTAACATTTGTTCTGTCATTGTGGCGTGAGGATACTAGGTCAACAGCAAAGATGTCCTCCCTCTAAGAAAGTGCCCGTGTGAAGGTACCCCGGGACACTATTTTAGAGTGAGTCCTTTAGCTTGATCCTATTCCAAAGGCTGGATTCGTCTCAAGGTGAACCTCAAGGTCAATGTCAATGGCAGTCCTCAAGGTCCACACCCGTATGCATGCCCAGGTCCCAGGACGCCCTCCCCCTGAAGATCCCTGCATCACATCCTCCAAGCTCTTTCACTTATGTATGTGTTTTCATCTCAGTGCTAATCCTTTCCTCCGGATGGGCCTACCCTTCCAAATTCTAACCAGAAGCCACATCTGGACACATCTAATACCAGGTTGCATTCACAGAGCTTGCCACCTCCCAACACCTGCCCCAGAAGCGCACTCAGAAACGGCTCCACAGCTCCCCCGTCGGGCAGGAGTGATCTCCCACACCCAGCCTGACGGTGGGCATCCAGAGCTTGAGTAGTAACAGAACGAGAGGAGGAGATGACAGTGAAAACTATTCAGCTCCGGTGGGTAGCGTGGGAGCGTTCGGAAGCGAGGGTCTAGGGAAAGGGGGCGGAGGGCAGACGGCAGATGGTTTCCTTGCGCTTTTCATTGGCCACCTTCGGTCATCTGGTGTCTGAGCCGGGAGCCTGCCTTCTTTCAGGCGTTCTTGTCGTCGAGTTTGATGGTGACAGTTTTGACTTCGGTGTATTCGGCCAGCGCGTATTCACCTCTGAGATGACAGGAGAGGGAACAGGTCACACACAGGTTCTGGGGAGTTCTTCTAATGCCTGATTACTCTTTCGGGTAACTTGGGGATCATGAGAAAAGGGAAATTGTGAATGACGTCTTGCTAGAAGGAGAGGCTGGGATTATGATGCCACTAATGAGCTTGGGTAATTGGAAATGTAATTTTAAATACCAAGGTGAGGTGGATATTGGTGGCTCACGCCTGTAATCCCAGCTACTCAAGAGGCAGAGATCTGAGGATCACAGTTCAAAGCCAGCATGGGCAGGAAAGTCTTGCGTGGGACGCTTACCTCCAATGAACCACTGGAAAACTGGAAGTGGTGCTGTGGCTCCAAGTGGTAGAGTGCTAGCTTTGAACGGAAAAAGCTCAAAGACAATGCCCAGGACCTGAGTTCAAGTCCCACAACCCACAAAAGTAAATAAATGCATACATAACTAGAATAAGCATAAAGCTGTTTGTATAGGATGCTTTTGGAAGCCTCAGAAGAACTATGGCTTGTCTTGGGGGTAAATACATGGTATTAAAACAAGTAGCGTGCCTGAGGGGAGCGCAGAGGCCCGGGGCTGGGGCTGGGGGTACAGATGTTAGCAGGGAATGATAGAGAGGACATGATGTGTCCACAAACCTCCTTCATGCCATTTCTGGGACTTGAACTCAGGGCCTAGGTGCTGTTCTTGAGTTTTTGTTGTTGTTGGTTTTTAATATGTTGCTCAAAGCTAGTGCCTACCACTTGAGCCACGCTTCCCCTTCCAGCTTTTTGCTGGTCAATTGGAGATAACAGTCCTTCAGACTTTCCTGCTTGGACTGGCTTTGAACCGAGATCCTCAGATCTTGGCCTTCTGAGTTGCTAAATTACAGTCAGGAGTCACTGACATCCAGTTTATGGAATTCCTTTATTTATTGATTTGTTTTATCAAAAACCTTGGTAAAGTATCGTCCAGGAATCCAAATAAACTTTAAAAAGAAAAAAAAAGGACCCCAAACCTCCCTGTGTGCTGCTGCTAACTGGCAGTCTGAGAGCGGAGTTTGCATTCAGTGTGTGATCACCAAGTTCTGCTTTGTGCCAGGGCATGGGGCCTCTAAGGGGCCCGAAGATGCCCCCAGGGTGGTAGGAAGATGCCCCCAGGGTGGTAGGAAGGAAAACCAGGCAGTGGATCACCCTTATAACCAGTGCAAACCAGGAGTCAGTGGACCCACGGGTCTCCCTGCAGATCCAGCCTCCAGGCATTGCTTTGGCGAGGGGGGGGGGATGGCTGCAGTTCTCATGCAAGTCTGGCCATGGGGAGATGTGCTGCAGAGGGGCTGGGCTCCTGGCTTCACGACCTGACTGCCTCAGCACAGGGGGTCAGAGCAGGTGGCTCCAAAGGTGACCTTTGGCCCTGCGCTGGGGAGGGCCCAAGGACAAGGCTGCTGTCTCGGAGAAAGCAAGCACAGGCCACTAGGGGGAGCCATAAGGCTTGTCCAAAAGGCCCCAAAGCAACAATGACAGAAACTTTTTGCAGTTAGATCTCACAAACTTTCCTTCCCTGGGCTGGCTTTGAACCATGATCCTTAGGTCTCAGCCTCCCAAATAGCTAGGATTACAAGTCTGAGCCATGGGTGCCCAGCCTGTCATACAAATTAAAAGAGTCTGCAAACAAGCCAGGTGTGGCTGCTCCCGCCTATAATCCCAGCTATTCAAGAGGTGAAGGCTGGAGGGTTTGCAGTTGGAGGCTGTTTTAAGCAAAAGTAAGATCACAACGCCACAAACCAACTGGGACATGGTGGGTCTGATGGCGGCCTCGGCTCTGGGGGAGGCTGTAGGGGGGAGGCCAGAGGGAAGGAGGGAGGGAGGAATTCAGATCAGCCTTCAGGGAAAGGACCACTGCTAGCCTTTGTGATAGGCCTGGGGATTGGGGAGTCGCTGGGCTAAAGCTTGAGTCACTGCCCTACTGATCGCTGGCAGACTTGGGGTAAGAAAGGGACTTACAGTTCTCTGCCATTTCCCGACATTTTAAAGCCACCAAACGGAGCCTGGGCATAGAGGGCATTGTAGCAGTTGACCCTGCAGAGAGAGGGAAACATTGCTCAGTTCCCTGAGAAAATCCACCCAGCCTCCACTCCCCTCCCCAGTTCCTGGCCATGATGAGCATGCCCAGTGCCTGCCAGATGCAATGATGACTAAAAACTGGTGTGTGTGTGTGGGAGAGAGAGAGAGACAGAGAGAGAGACAGAGAGAGAGAGACAGAGAGAGAGAAAGAGAGAGGGAGAGGGAGAGGGAGAGGGAGAGGGAGCGCAATAGAGAAAGAGAGAGAAAGAGAGAGCCCAACAGATACATACAGAGAAATTAGGGCTCAGGAAATAAAGGCTTATTTATTATTATTATTATAACTCAAAGCCTCATGCTCTTGATTGGCTTCTGCTTAAGGGTGATGTTGTACCACTTGAGCCACAGCTCCATTTCTAGCATTTTTGTCAGTTGTAGGGCTTGAACTCAGGGCCTGGGTGCTGTCTCTGAGCTCTTTTGCTCAAGGCTAGCGCTCTAGTACTTTGAGCCACAACGCCACTTCTGGTTTTCTGGTGGTTCATTGGAGACAAGAGTTTCACAGACTTTCCTGCCTGGGCTGGCTTTGAACCACAATCCTGAGCTCTCAGCCTCCTGTGTAGCTAGGATTATAGGCGTGAGCCACCAGTGCTGAGGCAGGAATTAGCTTTGAAATGACATAGATCTCCCTGCTTTCGACATTCTCTTTCTTCCTACAGTCTGTGACTCTAACTTATCCAACCTCTCTGAGTGAGCTTCAATTCACTTCTTTAAAATGGGCTCATTTATTGGGTGCTTGTGGCTTGTACCTGTAATCCTAGCTACTCAGGAAGTCAAGGCCTGAGGATCACAGTTCAAAACCAGCCTGAGGAAGAAAGGTCCAAGAGATTCCATCTCCAAAATAACCAGCATAAAGCCAGGCTGAAGGCGTGGCTCAAGTGGTAGGGCGCCAGCTGTGAGCTTAGAGTCAGAGGAATGGGCAAGTGTAAGCCATGGTACCGCCCCCCCCCCCCCAACGAAAAAAGGAAAAAGGAAGTTCGGGAGAGCTAAAGCCCAGCCAGGGAGCAGGGGACGGGGTCCATACTTCACCAGTGAGTACGCCCGGCTGCAGGATCTAGTCACAGCTATACTCAACCTTGATGGAAAATACTCAGGAAAAAAGTCACATTACACAGAAGTGGAGGGACAGAGGGTGAACGAACGCAGCAGTGGTCCTCACTAGACACTGCTGGAAATGAACTGTAACAACTTGTGGGTAGGGGATGGGAGGGGAAAACTAGGAAGAGGAGACATGGTCCAAAAAGAAATGCACTCTTACGGGGCACCAGTGGCTCACACCTGTAATCCTAGCTACTCAGGAGGTTGAGAGCTGAGGATTGTGGTTTGAAGCCAACTTGGGCAGGAAAGTTCCTGCGAGATTCTTTATCTCCAATGAACCACCAGAAAACTGGACATGGCGCTGTGGCTCAAAGTAGTAGAATGCTAGCCTTGAGTGAACAAGCTTAGGGACAGTGCCCAGGTCCTGAGTTCAAGGCCCAGGACTGGCCCAAAAATGAAGTACACAGGAAGACCTAGTCAGGTACTAGATCCTTGAACATAAGGAACTTGGGCAGCCATGAATTTTTGGTAGCTGCGGAGGGTCTTAGGAACAATATGATAATACAATAAGATAAATCCCTCCGCCTGCATGTGTCTTCATAGAAAATGAGAGGCCTAAAGCCACATGGCGTAGGCACTGCTGAAGGTCAGAGTGGACCACAGCTAGAGGCTCTCTGCCTGTGGAAGAGGAATCTCACAAGCAAGTAAGAACAGACATGGACATGGACACACACACACACACACACACACACACACACACACACACACACAAGCTCGCCTCACCAGACTGTCCCGGACTCCAGCGCCGATGCCAGCTTCAGGGCCTTGTCCAGGTTTTTGGTGAAGATGGCCGCTGTCAGTCCGTAGTCGGTGTTATTGGCTCGTTTAATTACCTCTTCGATGCTTTTGAACTTCAGTATTGGCTGCACTGGTCCAAAAATCTACGAGAAAGTCCAAGAAGAGCACTGAGAAGCAAGGTGGGGGCAGCGCTGAACATCTGGGCAGGTGTTTGCTGGGGCTTGTGATAGTTTCGTACATTCCAGAGCCCGCACCCATACAACCATGAAGAATAGAGAAGAAAGACCACCGGAGACCCCCTGGCTGCCTGAAGGTTGAAATCTCAAGGGAACACTGAAAGGGGACACACATTTAAGAATAAACACGGCCAGGCACTGGTGGCTCCCGCCTGTCATCCTAGCTGCTCAGGAGGCTGAGATCTGAGCATTGCAGGTCCAAGCCAGCCCGGGCAGGAAAGTCCGTGAGTCTCTTATCTTTGATGAACTACTCAGAAAAAGCCAAAAGTGGTGCTGTGGCTCACGTGGTAGAGTGCTAGCCTTGAGCAAAAGAAGTTTAGGGACAGCACCCAGGCCCTGAGTTCAAGCCTCAGGACTGGCACAAGTGTGCACACACACACACACAAATAAAACCACCAAAAACATCTATGAAGATTCTTGGCATCCATTTCTGAAGACTCCATCCTGAGAGATTTTGGGGTAACTCATATGCATCGGGGTACACAGAAGACAATGCCTCTGCATGACCTTTGGGTAGGCCCTTTGCAAAGGCGGTCTGTTTCCATAACATGTTGCCATAGTAACAAGAGTCACACAGGCTACAACCCAGCAAAGAGAAGATAGAATTAAAGGCTGGCTCATATCAAGGGTGGTGTGTGTGCGTGTGTGCATGCATGCATGTGTGTGCATGTGTGTGCATGTATGCATGTGTGTGCATGTGTGTGCATGCATGCATACGTGTGTGTGTGTGTGTGTGTTAGACTGGGGACACCTTGGGGAGCCCAGCCATGGCCCTGGAATCCTCAGCTGGACAATGACTCTCCCCTGCCTGGCTGAACGGGAGGGCGCACTGTCACACAGAGTGGATGAGCAACATTGGAAAGCACTAGAACACAGCATCATCATGAAGTTGGGGTGCAGTCTTTGGCGTTTGCCAGAGGCACTGGGGATCCAGGCTCCCCAAGGAGCCCAAGGCACAGAGGATCTGCTCGTGCTGGGCATACTCCTAAAATTCCTGGGTCCCAGGAAGGAGCACTCTGGAGGAGCCCGGCGCTGGAGCCCGGCCAGCCGCGCATGCGTACCTCCTCCCGGGCAAGCCGCATGTTGTCGGTGACTTCGGAGAAGACGGTGGGCGTGATGAAGAGCCCGCTGTCCTGCAGGGCCGCGCCCCCGCATTCCAGCTTCGCCCCTTCCCGCTTCCCACTCTCGATCAGCTCCAGGATCTTGTCGAATTGCTCTTGGTCTATCTAGAAAACACAGGGCCACGGCTGAGCCTTCCGCAACACCACTGGCAGCCCCCTCTTCTTCACAGACGGCAAGCGTGCTGCTCAAATCTCACTCACATGCACACGCGTGTGCACGCACACACACATGTATTCTGTGCTGGTCCTGGGGCTTGAACTCAGGGCCTGGTCACTGTCCCTGAGCTTTTTCGCTCAATGCCACTGAACTGTACTTGTACATCAGGCTTTTTGATGGTTAAATGGAGATTAAAAAAAAAGATCTCATAGACTTCTGCCCTAGGTGGCTTTGAACTGTGATCCTCAGATCTCAGCCTCCCGAGTAGCTGAGATTACAGGCGTGAGCCACCAGCACCCAGCGATCGTGGCCATTCGGATGGAGCCCTTTTCTCTTGGGCTGGGTGAGGCAGAGCCGTATTGACTTTTGAACTTAAAGGACAACTGGTTTTCTTCCTGTGGTGTTAAATAGAAAACCACATGGCCTAATGGCGTGTTTAGATGGTGGTGTGTTCCCAAGGGGCAGGCTGGTTTGCTTGGAAGGGGAGAGTATGGACTATGTATGTCATGTGACTGACCAACTTGTGACAAGGCATCCAGTTTTAAAATACTGAGTCTGAAGCCAGGCATGGTGGTGCACACCTGTAATCCCAGCACTCATGAGACGGAGGGAAGATTAAGTATGCAAGGCCACTCTGGCTTTATCATGAGTTCCAGGCTAGACCTCCATCTCTTCCCTCCTCCAAAGAATAAAATAACCAGTCTGAGCCATACTCCACACCTTCTGCTAAGAGAGTTCCAATTAGACCACAGATCTAGCCATGAAGAATAAAAGGATAAAAGGTTTTCTAAAGTTTCTCATGTACAAAGCTGACTTGCAGTGTGTTGAGGGCTTTCCTGTAGATGCCAACAATGGAAAGACTGTTAAAACTATTTTTTTTTAAAGAAAAAGGCAACATTACTGGACACATAGTCAAAGAAAAAACAATAAACTTGGAGACAAAATTGGGTAAGTCATATCATAGGAAGCTAATCTCTGATATTGTGTCCAAAAAGGTCTAAGAAGTAGAAAAAATGTTTGGCAGGTAGTAGCTCATCCCTGTAGTCACAGCTACTTGGATGGTAGAGACCGAGAGGATCAAAGTTTGAAGCTAGCCTAGGCCAAAAAACAATCAAGACCCCATCTTAATAAACAAGACTGGTACCAGGTGCTGGTGGCTCATGCTTGTAATCCTAGCTACTCAGGAGATCCGAGGATCATGGCTCAAAGCCAGACTGGCCAGAAGAGACTGTGAGACTGTGATTTCCTATAAACAACCCCAAAAAAGTTGGAAGTGGAACAGTGGCTCAAGTGGTAGAACACTAACCTTAAGCAAAAGAACTCAGGGACTGCGCCCAGGCCCTGAGTTCAAGCCCCATGACCACCACCACCACCACTACCACCACCACCACCAACAAAAGACTTTTATCTCCAATTAAGCAGCAAAATGCTGGACTGGAGGTATGACTCAAATGGTAGAGCACCAAGCCTAGCAAGTACAAAATCCTGTTTTCCCTTCTTCCCTCACATGAAAGAATAATAAGGGAGAGCAATCAGACTCCATTATCACCTTTGCTTCTTGGTACCCTTAAAGTGATTTAAAAGTAAAGAGTCCTAGAGGATTCACCTCAGGAAAGGGGTGCATTGGCTGAGGAGGGCAGAGAAGATGGAGGGAGTCCTTTCATCTTGAAACTTTATAGATGTCCTCCACTTCCGCCAAACAAAATACAAATAACCACCCTGGCTGCGGCTACAGCCCGTCCCAGCTTTTCTCTGGCTGAACCAAACCTTGGCCGGAAACTCCCAGTATTCCAAGCATTTGTCCACGGATGTGGGGGAGGGGAGTCTGGGGGAGCTCATACAAGGGCCTTCCGGAAACCCCAGGTCTTAGCTGGCTCCTGACTACATTCTAGAACCTTCCATCTGTCCTGCAAGCAGTTCTGAGCCCACGTGAGAATCCTCTGCTCCCTGCCGCGTGCGTCCGCGCACATTGGTGAAATCAAACAGGCAGAAGGGCTTGCAGGAAAGATGACAGGGTGAGACACAGACCCCACAAACATGGAAATATGCACCCCCTCCCCACCCCGGATTGGCTCAAGGGCTCTGTCTGCCAGGCCTGGTGCTGGCCAGCTTGCTGGTGACACGTGCCCAATCCATGTTCCTTGGTCACAAGCAAACAGGACCAGACCTTCTCCCCAGCGGCCGTCAGTCCACGCGCTGGGACCTGGGCCGGGCGAGCTCTGTCCAGGCCGGGGCTGGGAGGATTCAGACAGCCGTGAGTCCTCGGGGAATAAGATCTCAGCAGCAGGGATGAAAAGGGGAAAACAGAGATCCACAGCGCGAGTCTCCGGCCGGAGCCTGGGAACAAGACTGAGGGATAATAACTGGGGGTCCCCAGAGTGGGGGCTACCTCATTTGCTCCCCACTGACACTGGTTTAGAGCCAAGCCCCCAGCAGGCCCGCACGATGCTGTGTGTGTGTGTGCGTGTGTGTGTGTGTGTGTGTGTGTGTGTGTGTGTGTGTGTGTGGTCATCCCTGCCGCTCAGGGAGGCTGAGAGCTGAGGATCCGGGTTCGAAGCCAGCCGGGGCAGACACATCCAGGAAAGTCTTCTCTCCAGTTAACCCTCCCCAAAAAGCTGGAAGGGGAGCTGTGGCTCAGGTGGTAGAGCACCAGCCTTGAACATGAAAGCGAAGGGACGGTTCTGCCCAGGCTACGAGTTCCAACCCCAGGAGCAGCACCAAAAAGAAAAGTCTGAATAGCAGCGCAGGGCGGCCAGATGGAGACGCGCGGTTACCTGCGGGCCCTGCTCCGTGTTCACGTCGAAGGGGTCGCCCACGGACCTCTTCTTGGCATACTCCACGCTCCGCCGGACGAACTCGGGGTAGATCTGCTCCTCCACGAACACCCGGGAGGCGGCGGTGCAGCACTGGCCCTGGTTGAAGAACGCTCCGCGGTGTGCACACTCCACAGCCAAGTCCACTGTGCCAGAGAGAGGCCGCAAGAGGAAGCCGTGAGCTCATTCACGCCTGCTGCCCTCACAGCTGCAGGCCTAATTGCCCCGAGAAAACAGCCCCCGGACGGCCCAGTGTCGGAAATTAATTTTGGTCTTCGTATTTCCCAAAGAGGACAGGACTGGGCATGGGGAAGGAGTGGGGGTAATGGGAGAGAACGTTTAAGTACATCAAGCTGGAGGTTAAAGGAGTCTGCAGACTGCAGGACTTGTCAGTGCCTTTCATCTGCCCCGGCCCCCAGAGTCGCAACTCTTTCCTCCTCTCCCATCCCTGCGTTCCTGCCGCCATCTTGTTTTGCCCTAGGCCAATTTGGCAAGAACTTCTAAGGAAGCCAAAATGTTCTGTAATCCTAAGCTACTCAGGAGGCTGAGGTCTGAGGATTTAGGTTCAAAGCCAAATCCAGGCGGGAAAGTCCGGGAGACTCTTATCTCCTAGTAAACTAAGGGAAAAAAAATCCAGAAGTAGAGCTGTGACTCAAGAGGTAGAGCACCAGCCCTGAACCCAACAGCTAAGGGACAGTGTCAGGCCTTGAGTTCAAGTCTTAGTACAGACACCACAAAAAGCAGAACAAAACACACACCACAAAAACCTCAAAATAATAAATCCAAACTGGCCACCGGGAGTAAATAGTTCTTGAATATGGCCCAAAGATTTAAAAAAAGGGGGGAAAGGGGTTGTGGGATACAGAGTTATCTGTGTCTAAGTACTGCATCTGAATTACAGACTAGATGGTAAACTAAAATCACTTGCTAAAACCTGACCGGGCAGGGTGGAGCACACCTGTAATCCCAGCGGTGTGGGAGGTACAAGCCACAGGACTGAAGTCCTAGGTTCTATCTGAAACGTAACTAAAGCCAAAAACAGCCAGGTGGGTGGAGACATGGCTCAAGTGGCAAAGCCCCTGCCTAGCCGCTGGGGCTCCCTGCGCAAACCTCAGGACTGCTACTGAAAGAAAAATAAAATCTGCTGGAAAGCTACTTCGTGGGGTACCTGGGCTGGGGTCCCCACCCTGGCTGTAAGCAAATGGCGACCACCACACCACAGGGTTTGTCTGTATGATCAGAGCTGGGGGGGGGGGTCACAGGACAGCTTTCCAAGGCGCCTCTCCTCCCCCGCGGGTGCCAGGGCTGAGTGCCAGCCTAATGCTGCCCCTCCTTGAAGACGGCTAATTCATTTCCTGCCCCCCAACCAGGGTGAAGTAGCCTTGACATGATGTCAGCATTTAATTGTCCCCGTCGGGAGGAGGAGAGAATGACCCTAGTACACACACACACACACACACACACACACACACACACACACACACAGACCCCATCCTGTGTGTGGCTGGGAGAGGAGTTGGGAGTTTGGATCTCCAAGATGTGTCCCCACTGGATGACTCGGAGAGCCCTGCCTGGTGACTGGGAAAGCCATTAGCTAGGCTGACGCGTGTCTACCCCACACGGACTGTCCATCTCCACGCCCTTCCCCGGGGCTCCAGCTCCGCCCTGTCTTCTCTCCCACTGGGAACCAACTTCAGGAAAAAGGGATGGGCAGTATCAGTCAGTCATGGACACTTTAGTAAGAACTTGTGCGGTGGACAGTGTTTCTTCGGGGGTGTTGGCAATTCCAGCCTTATCTGCGAAAGGACTGGGCGGGCGCTGTTCTCTCTGAAGAGAATGGCTGGTGCCAGGGGGCGGATGGGGGAGGCGATCCACCACAGAGAGGCCACACCTCTGGATGGGCCACCCTGAGCGCGGGGCGGGGGGGGGGGGGGGGATGGATGCCCCGGGGAGCCCTTCGCCCTCTTCAGGGCACGGCAGCCAAGAACAGCAAATGTTGTTAATATTGTGTCATCTGCGTGGATCTAGACACACATGGTCCCGGGCTGCAGGGCAGGTGGCTTTCCTGAGGGCCCAAGCAACACAGGCAGTGACCACGACCAGGCACAGGTGTGTGTGTGTGAGTGTGTGTGTGTGCGCGCGCGCGTGTGCGTGCCGGTCCTGGGGTTGGGACTCAGGGCCTGACCACTGTCCCTTAGCTTTTTCTGTCCAGGCTAGAGCTCTATTACTTGACATAAGAATTCCATGGGCTTCCCTGCCTGGGCTGGCTTTGAACCTGGATTCTCAGATCCCAGCTCCTCAAGTAGCTGGGATTACAGGCGTGAGCACCAGCACCCGGCCTGGGCTGTTGGTCTCGAGGCTGAGCCATGCTGTCCTCCTTAGACCCACCAGGATGGCATCTACATAGAGCCCAGAGCACACAGGGCCCTGGAGCTGCAGGGGCAGGACAATCAACCCGGCCAGGGCGTGGGGGGCATTTACAGTCGCTCTGAGGTTGGGGGGGACTCACAGTCTGCGTCTGCGCACACGATGCAGGGGTTCTTGCCCCCCAGCTCCAGCGTCACCCTCTTCAGATTGCTCTGCGAGGCCGCCTCCTTCACCAGCTTCCCAACCTTCAGGAGGGAGACACAAGATCAACAGCGCACAGACAAAGCCCCACAGAGCTAGCCGGGAGGCTGAGAGCTCAGAAGCCCCGGTTCCAAGCCAGCCTGGGGAAGACAAAAACGTCTCACAGACTTTCCTGCCTGGATTGGCCTTGAACCACGATACTCAGATCTCAGCCTCCTGCGTAGCTAGGATGGCAGGTGTGAGCCACTGGCTTCATTTCTCTTTTAAGCAGAGAAGGTTGTCATGATAATTCCTTACAGGAATGCTGTGTAGGGGTGAAGGGGGCTGTTCTGTCCCTAAACCCACATAACAGGGATATAGTAATGTCTTGGGAATGTTCCCAGATAACTTCTATATCTACTCACACACAGGCACACACGTGCATGCACACAATGTTTCTAATATCATAGCAAACTTCCTCCATCCTTCCTCTCTTTCTTTCTTCCTCTCTTTCTCCTTTCTTTCTTTCTTTCTTTCTCTTTCTTTCTTTCTTTCTTTCTTTCTTTCTTTCTTTCTTTCTTTTTCTTTCTTTCTTTCTTTCTTTCTTTCTTTCTTTCTTTCTTTCTTTCTTTCTTTCTTTCTGTCTGTCTGTCTTTCTTTCCTCAATAGTTGAGGGTCAGCTCTCCTTGTTAGAATGGCTGTAGAACATTCCACAGAACAAATAAGATATCTCAAGACTCTTGAGAGAATCCATGGGCAAGAGTTGCTTTGAGAGGGAATGTTAGAATCAAAAGTTGTTTTTTTTTTTTGGGTCCGGTCGTGGGGCTTGAACTCTGGGCCTGGGCGCTGTCCCTCAGCTCTTCAACTCAAGGCTACCGCTCTACCACTTGAGCCACCTTCCCAGCCCCAGAATCAAAAGTTTTCTACTTTGTAATCTTTTATTTTTTAATTTTTTGCTTAATTCCACTAACTCTTGTTTTCCACGTTGGAGACATGCTAGGTTAGATCCCATATCTCCATATTCTCAATAAAATATATATACTTTTTGTCCCTCAAGTTGATAGACAAAAGGTGAGGCTGACTCTTTTTTGTTGTTGTTGTTGGTCATGGGGCTTGAACTCTGGGCCTGGGCGCTGTCCCTCAGCTCTTCAGCCCAAGGCAAGCGCTCTCCTACTTGAGCCACAGCGCCACTTCTGGTTTTCTGGTGGTTCATTGGAGGTAAGAGTCTGACGGACTTTCCTGCCCAGGCTGGCTTTGAACCATGATCCTCAGATCTCAGCCTCCTGAGTAGCTAGGATGACAGGTGTGAGCCACCAGCACCCGGCTTGAGCCTGATTCATTTGAACTTGCATTTCCCTGCGTACCAATGAACTCAGGCATAAGCACGGGCTATTCGGATGGAAAATGATGTCTATTTTTCCCCTATCATTCCACTTGCTGGCTGGTGTGTTTTTTCATTGATCTCGAGAAGCGCTTTACATAGGAAGGCGCAACACTGGAGATCTGTGCTCCACGACCTCCTCCCAGCTCCATTGTCTCTTAGCCATAATTAGCCATAATTATGATGTTGTCCGCGCTAGGGATGCGTGACATTTTTAAATTTTATCTTATCTCAATCTTTGCCTCTGGGGCTCCTGCTGTATTTATTTAGTTTGGAAACAAGACCGGTGGTTTTGTGACTGACTTATTATTATTATTTTTTTCTAAGACGGGGCCAACATTTGTAAGAGGAAGAAGAGAAAATCCTGTGAGCTTCTCAGGCAGCGTTGGGGGTGCGTGTGGGGGGAGTGGGGGGTGTCATGGCTGCCGTCCTCCCTTGGCCTCCTCCATGGAGGGGGTTCTTACCTCTGTGGACCCGGTGAAGGCCAGCTTGTTGATCTGGGGGTGAGACGAAATGGCAGCGCCCACCGTGGGTCCGAACCCTGGCACGATGTTCACCACGCCTGGAGGGAACCCGACCTAGGGAGAGATGGAGACCACCTCAGAGGAAGGCAGGGAGCGGGCGGCGTGGGGCTCTGAGCGCCACAGGGTGACGTGGGGGGGCCTCTCCTCTCACCCCTTTTTGCTCCCTGTTTCTTTCTACCTCTTGGCACCCGGACAGCCATGATGGATGGATAACTGGAGCGGGCGGGCGGCTGGGACTGAGAGGCGGGAGGCCCTTTGGGCCTCTCTTTCCCTGAACTGTGGCTTCTTGGGGGGAGGGTGCTGTCCAGAGAGCAGGAGGTGCTGGGAGGCTTTGGGGAGGGGGCTCAGCCAGTGCACAAGGCCACCCCAGGCCCTGGTGGCTCCCGCCTGTCATCCTAGCTACTCAGGAGGCTGAGATCTGAGGATTGTGGTTCAAAACCGGTCCAGGCAGGAAAGTCCGTGAGACTCTTATCTCCAATGAACCACCAGGAAACTGGGCACCCAGGTCCTGAATTCTAGCCCATGAGAGAGATGGGGGGTGGGGGAGGGAAACAGAAGACCATTCTGCACATGCCCACTGCCAAGCCCAGCAGCATGTTTGATGCCTTCCTGAGTGAGCTTCCGCCATCCTCTATCCTGACCAAACATCCAAACCCTAGGTAATGCCTCCACCGGCATTCATTCTAGTTCACAGACCACAAACACAACTGCCAAGCCAAACAGGGAGTCTGAACTTCCCCCTGCGCCCTGCGCCTGCAGCCCCATTATATCCTGTGACCCCGGCCTGGTGCATAGGTGGGAACGGCCCCAGACTCTCCTTTCAGACGGCTTTACCTCTTTTATCAGCGAGGCCAGGTAGAGCGCGGTGAGGGGCGTCTGCTCGGCCGGCTTCAGCACTGCCGTGTTCCCGCAGCTGAGGGCCGGCGCCAGCTTCCACACCAGCATCAGCAGGGGGAAGTTCCACTGTGACAGGGACAGAGAGGGCCTTGGGGACTCAGGTCCACCCCCTGCCTGCCCCAGGGACCCAGCCATGCCTTCCCAGAGGACGCCAACTCTTCCCAGTCTGGATCTGGGGTTTAAGGGGCAGCATAGGAGTATGCCATGACAAAACTGCATTCTGGGAGATAACTGTGGACAGCTTATGTAAAGACAGTGGTGTATGTGTCCGGAAGCTCTCCCTCTCAAAGAGTCTACTAAAGGGAGTCACAGCCAGGCACTGGTGGCTTATGCCTAGCTACTCAGGAGGCTGAGATCTGAGGATCCTGGCTTGAAGCCAGCATGGGCTGGAAAGTCTGTGAGGCTTTTATCTCCAATAAACCACCAAAAAGCTGGAAAAGAAGCTGTGGCTCAAGTGGTAGACTGCCAGCCTTGAACAAAAAGGTAAGGGGACAGTGTCAAGCCTTGAGTTCAAGCACATGAACACACAGGCACATACACACACTCATTTGCTAAAGGGGTAACCTCCTCTTCCTGTGTGGAGCACCCATATTTTTGTTTGTTTGTATTTCTGAGCTGGGCTCACTATAGAGCCTAAGCTGATCTTAAACTTGAGTTCCTCCTACTCCCACTTCCCTGGTGCTGGGATTATAGGTGAGCCCCACCATGCCCGGCTGTGAAAACAACATCTTTCCAACCCCTACTCCACACAGTGGCCATCGAAGGGGCCTGGGGTTTTCCAGATAGACATCATTGCATTCCTGCGGTGTCTACCAAATCCCGTGGCCCAGTGACCAAGCCCCACCCCGGGTGCCAGGGCTGTGCTGCTGGCCTCTGCCACCTGAGCCCATCCCTGCCTAACTCCGACCTCAGCAGAGTCACCCAGACCTTTCCTTCTCTCCTGTCCTTGAAGCCCCCCCCTCCAAGAGCCCACGTTCCCGGTGGACACGCCCACTCCTGGCCACGGGGCTGGAATCCCCCCCCCCCCCCACGAATGCCCCTGGGCACGGAGCAGCGCGTGCTCCCGGGATGCTGGTTTCCATGGTTACGGTGGACCAAAACCCAAGCTCCTGTTGGTTCCAAAGAGATGGAAGCCCTCCCTGGGTAGAGCGCAGCCGCGGCACTCACTGGAGTGATGGCCCCGCACACGCCGATGGGCTCGTGTCTGGTGAAGCAGACCACGTTGTCATCTGAAAGAGACAGAAAGCAGACGAGGCGTTGAAAGACAAGACAGACACAGGGACGGCCCTCGCTGAGTTCCACCTGAGTCCCCTCGGGAATGGCGCCCCCTAGAGAAAGGTTGAACGCAGTGCCACGGTGGGAGGGGGCCGGGAGGAAGGAGGGATGGGCCAGGAAGGGGAATCCTGGGGAGCACAGACCCCCAAAGAGAACCCCACTAGAGATGAGGGTCCGTCCTGCGGGGGGAGGGGGAGGCTCACCCGTGGGGATGGTCCTGCCTTGGATTTTGTCTGCCCACCCTGCGAAGTATCGCAGGGTCTTAATGCAGCCTTCCAGGTCGATGAAGAAGGCGTGGAGGAACGGCTTGCCCGTGTCCATGGTCTCCAGCGTCTGCAGGGACAAGTGGGTAGACGGCGTGGCAATAAGCGTGCTTTCCTTTAGCTGTTGCGTGATTAAAGATGGGGTGGGAGACAAAACAAACCAACAAAAGCCCCACGGGCCCGGGGACATCACGCTCTGCACGCCTGTCTTCTGCGCTGTTCAGAAAACGTGACACTCGGCTGCCATCCTCACTACTCAGGAGGCTGAGGGCTGAGGATCGCAGGTCAGAGCCAGCCCCGGGCAGATACAGGAGAGAGACTCTTAGCTCCAATGAACTAGCCCCAAGCTGGGGGTGGAGGTATAGCTCAAGTGGTAGAGCGCCAGCTTTGCCAGAAGAAGCCAAGCAAGAGGCCAAGCCCTAGCAATGGAAAGAGAGGGAGAGGGAGAGGGAGAGGGAGAGGGAGAGGGAGAGGGAGAGGGAGAGGGAGAGGGAGAGGGTGTGTTTTGGGGGCTGGGCAGGGCTGTGGAGAATGACCATGCCTCCAGGACAATGTGTGCATCCGGATGCAGAATGGGGTGTGGGGTGTGGGGGACTTGCTCACCAGCCCAAGGCGGGTGGGAGGTGGGGTACCCGGGCGAGTACGCAGGGCTCAATGGTGGGGATTCTTTTCTATTTCCAGCCTGGGTGAAAGAGAACCCCTTTGTCCGTCAGACAAAACAGCCTCAGTGGAGCCCCGAGCTGAGATGTCCAGTCATCCGAGCGCACAGGAAGTGACCACCCGGACACACGGCCCTCGGCTGAATTCCTGCTCGCCACGCGCGCCTCCGTGGGGTGAGGATGCCGTGGGAAGGAAGGAAGGAACCCCCCCCCGTGATGTCCCGCGCTCTCACCCCAGAACCCCGCAAGTGGCCACTCCAGGGAGTATCTGCTTGTTTGTGGATGAGCTGGGGGGTCAGGGGTGGAGCTCAGCTCTTTCCTGGCACAGGACGAGAGGGTGGTGTTGCTATGCTCGTGGGGAAGTTTGGGGCATGGAGCCTCTTTTCCGTCTCCACTCCTGGTTTTCCATCCCTGGCTGCGTAACCCATTTTCTCCATCTTTGAAATAGATTTAGATACCCAACAGGTCAAGTGCTGACAAGCCAGGGGCGTGGTGAGCTTTCTAGGAATTGTTCTTTTTTAAATCATTTTGTACAAGATGGCTTACTGGGATGACAATATACAAATTTCGGATCGGTTGTATGGCATTTATCCAAGAAAAACTCATGTTAGAATGAATACAGATGGAAAATTCTTAAAGAAAGGAATGAGGGAGGGAAGAAATGAAGGGAAGGAAGCAGGAAGGAAGGAAAGATGAAGGAGGTAAGAAGGAGGAAGAAAGGAAGGAAGGAGGGAAGGAAGGAAGGAAGGAGATCCAGCTCTCTTTATAACATCACCCACCCTCATGCCTCCTTCCCTCCTTCCCTCCCTCTTTCTTTTCCTTCCTTCCTTCTCTCCCTTCTCTCCCTCCCTTAGTTCTTTCTGTCATTCTCTTTTTCTCTTTATTTCTGTTTCTCCCTCCCTCCCTCCACACCCCGGCCAGTATTGAGATTTCCAGTTTTTAGCTGGTTAACTGCACATAGGAATCTCATGGACTCTCTTGCTCAGGCTGGCTTTGAATCTCCATCCTCCCACCTCAGCCTCCTAGATAGTGAGGCTGACCGGTGTGAGCCGCCGGGCAGGGCGTTCCGCTGGATCTTCCTTCTGGGGTGGGGATGGCAGGGGGGCATTCTTCCCGGTGAAGCGGAGGATCGCCACTCCCCCATGGGGTTCTGTCAGAGCCCAGTGTGGCCTGAGCGGCAGGGCGAGTGCGGGGACGTCGCCGTGTCCCCAGGGACAGCTCGCACAGCGAAGGGCAGGGGCAGGCATGGCCTCTCTGGGGACATTGCAGACTGATGAGCTCACGCCCAGAGAAAACAGAAATGTTTTTGAAAAAGCCAGTCTGGCAGCTTGAGAGTGAAGCTCAGGGGGAAGCCGGAAGCTTCCGTGGCGCATCCGTCCCCAGAGAGAGCGGGGCACACCCGGCCCCGTCCAGTCAAGACACCTCTGGGTGCTGCTGCCCTTCAGCAAGGCGCTCACTCTCTCCTCAAAGCCAGCATCACAACAACACATCTCCTTAAATCCCAGAGGGGGGACGAAAACAAACAAAGGAGGTGTGCTCTGAGCCTCAAAGTCTGGAACAAGTTTGGAGACAGGACAGGGACACAGCATGGTGGGCCATGGATCTCCAGCCTGGCGCTGGTGGCTCACACCTGTCAACCTAATTACTCAGGAGGCTGAGATCTGAGGATGGAAGGTCAAGGCCAGCCCGGACAGAAAAGGTGGAGAGAATCTTTTCTCCAATTAACCAGCAAAATGCCAGACTGGGGGTATGGCTCAAGGGTAGAGCATCAGTCAAGAGCAAGACAGCCAAGCAAGAGTATGAGGTCTTGAGTTCAACCAACACTCCCCTATACACACACACACACCACCACCACCACCACCACCAACAACAACAAAACATTAACGTGCAAATGTCAAGGTTGGACCAGCACACAGTCCAGCCGGTGGTGACCATCCGTGAATATCTCAAGTCTGGGAACAAGTAAAATAATTGAACCACGACAACTTCCTGGTTAAGAAGCTGTGCAGGGAGCCTGCTCTTGGTGGCTCACAAGTGTCATCCTAGCTATCTAGGAGGCTGACATCTGAGGACTTAAACTGGAGGCCAGACTCAGTGGCAGAAAAGTCCGTGAGACCCTGATCCCCAATTAACTACCAAAAAGCTGCAAGTGGAGCCGTGGCTCAAGTGGCAAAGTGCCAGCCTTGATGGAAAAAGCCAAGAGCTTGTGAGTTCAAGCTCTAGTACCACCCCTCCATGCCCCCCCCCCCCGAAAAAAAATTAAAATCCTGTGGGCACAGGCCCTCAGTGAGCCCCCTCTCCGCCCAGTACTCACAGCCAAGATGGCGCGGTCCCTTTCCACCAGGTCGGCCAGCTGGTGTAGCAACCGGCCACGGCTCAGGCCATCGAGTCGGCGCCACGGGGACCCCCTCTGGAAGGCGGCTTGTGCGGCCTCCACAGCCTTGTCCACGTCGGGCTGTGGGGACAGAAAGTGTGTCAGAACTCTGCTTTTCTTTCTTCTCCCCGAGGCCTGTGGCAGGTGAGTGTTCCGTCCACCACGCAGCTTTACTTCCCTGCTCCCCAGTCTTCTGGAGGTTGGATGGTTTTAGGTAGTAAGGTTTGAGCTCAGGACCTCGGTGGCACTAGGCAGACATCCTACCACCTGCGCCCCGCCTCTAGCCCTTTAGTGCTACAGTTGGTTTTCTTTTCAGATGGGGTCTTGTGCTTTCGCCCAGGCCTTTCTAAGACTTTGATTCTTCCATCTCTGCCTCCTGAGTCGCTGGGATTATAGGTGTGTGCCACCGCGCCCGTTCCCCTCAATCTTTCTCAAAAAAAGAAAGAAGTGAGGGTTATTTAGGGGACCCTCCACCACCTTTTATTTTCAAGATGACAGGCAACAAGGGTCTGGGTGCTGACAGGGCGATGAATGGCTGCCAAGCCTCCATGCCAGACAGCGGCCAGGCAAACCTGCCGTCCATCCCTGGAACTCCAGCCAGTGCCAGGCCCTCCCTTCTGACCTTCCCAGCTTCCCCAGGCTCCTCTGTAAACCCAGCTTGAGAAACGTTGGGGAGGAAGACCCCTGCAGGGCGTCCCTGTGCATGTCCCCGTAAGCCGACACTGGGACAAGAAAATCCAACTATTCACACATCCTCACCCCACCAGCTTCAAATCACTAATACACTGATTAAGCGCCTCTCTGGACAGCCTGTAGTCCCAGCTATGCAGGAGGCTGAGGAGGGAGGATGGCCGGAGCCCAGGAGTGAGAAACCTATCTGGGAAACACAGCAAGACTCCATCTTGAAAAAGGAAAAGAGCCACAGGCTGGTGGCTTATGCCACTGCTCAGGAGGCTGGGATCTGAGGATCATGGTTCAAAGCCAGCCCAGGCAGGGAAGTCCACAAGACTCTTACCTTCAACGAACCACCAAAAAGCTAGAAGTGGCACTGTGATAGCTTGAGCACAAAAGCTTAAGGACAGTTTCTAGGCCCTGAGTTTAAGCCCCAGGACTAATTAAAAGTGGGGAGGGGTTGGAGTGGACAAATCTGGGGGCAAGCCTGCTCCGGTTTGTCATTCCATCTCTGCAGATAAGGAATATTTGGATTTTAGGGAAGCCTGAGCAAGAAAAACAACAAACACACACACACACACACACACACAGAACAGTTTTGAGACCTCATCTCAACAGAAAAAGCTGGTGTGGCATTGCACAAGTATAATCCCATTTACAATGGGATAGCCAGACAGGAGGATCAAGGTCCAAGCCTGAAAAAAGTGAGACCTTATCTCAAAAATAAACAGAGAGAAAATGGTCTGGAAGTATGGCTTACGTCATAGAGATACCTGCTTAGCAAGTTTGAAACTTACGGGGGGGGGGGGGGGGAGTGAGGAGAGCGAGGATCTGTTCAATACTCTAGCAGTTAAAGACTGTCATGTTTCTTTTCTCACTTTGCCTTAACATTTCCTTCACAGACAATTCCATTTGAAATAGACTTTATGCCCTTAAAATGTATAAAAGAAGCCAGGTGTCGATGGCTCACTCCTGTAATCCCAGCTCCTCAGGAGGCTGAGATCTGAGGATCACAGTTCAAAGCCAGCCTGGGCAGGAAAGTCCATGAGACTCTTATCTCCAATAAACCACTAGAAAACCAGAAGTGGTGCTGTGGCTCAAAGTGGTAGAATGCTAGGCTAGCCTTGAGCAAAAAAAAAAAAAAGCTCAGGAACAGTGCCCAGGCCCTGAGTTCAAGCCCCATGATCAACCGAGAAAATAATAATAATAATAAAGCATAAAAGCTACATTCAAAAATCCCTTAGCTTCTCTATGACAAAACGGAACCTGCATTGGCTACAGGGCTACGTGCACTGCAGTTTTACACGATCACATAAATACCTAGTAGAGAGAAAAAAAAACAAACCAAACCAAACCTGGAGGTCACGTGACAGTGCCCCACCTGAATATGCCAGTCTTTCTTCCTTCAAGTCTTTTTTTTTTTTAAAAGTATCTCCTAAAAGTGTGCTCCCTTGGGTGAAATACACCAGCCGGAAACGCTCTCAGCAAGGATTTCTTAATGCCCCCAGCTTCTAATAATTGATGAAAACCTTTGCTTTTGCCATATGACAGGATAGCTGAGGTCATCCTCGAAGACGCAGAAAGATCTAGCACCGGAGGGGGACTCTGTGCAGAAGACTGCCTGTAATTGATCCCATGCTGGGCCTCGAGTCAGAGCCGTACACTCGGAGCAGCTGCCGGAGCTCCCAGGCCCCTACCCTGAGGGCAAACCTGCGCTGGGATCCCCCCCCCCCCCCCGCCCCATTTTCCCCCCTCCCCCGTCCTTCCTTGATCAATAATCGAATTACTGAGGGACCCACCTTATCGCCTTCTTCCACATCACAGATTTTCGTCAGGGTGGAAGGGTTATATGTAGCAAACTTTTTCCCACTCTTGGATTCGTGCCAGTCGTTGTTGATAAATATCTACCCGGGAAAGGAAGTACAACGCATTAGGTTTCAATCAAAATCATACAATTTTCAACATGCTAAGGACCTTAGGTAACGTCTTGTCTGCTTTCGTCCTCACTGCCACCCACCCCCTGCCCCCCACATCTCCCTTGATGGCGTACAGATGAGACTCCGAGGCGGACAGGACAGGCTGAATCACGCAGAGAGACCAACAGAGCGGCCAGGGTGGCATAATAAAACTGAAGTCCTGTTACATTTTTTTTCTTAATAATTCCTCATATATCTATATCATCTAGCCCGGAAGGTTCTATCAGCAGTGAGGCCCCTCCTCCTTGCTGTTTTGACACATGCTAAGGTTCTATATAAGATTTTGCCAATGCTCTAGAGCGGTCAGCAGTGCTATGAAAGCCCGGGTCCACTCTATTCCCTTTAAAATATGTAAAATTTCCTGTTGGGCATGATAAAAACCAGTGTTGGAATACAGAGTTAAATATCTGCCTTAGAAGCCCGGGTGCTGGAGGCTCACGCTTGTAATCCTAGCTACTCAGGAGGCTGAGTTCCAAGGATCATGGTTCGAAGCCAGCCCAGGCAGGAAGGTCCGTGACTCTCATCTCCAATTACTAAAAAGCCAGAAGTAGAGCTGTGGCTCCACTGGTAGAGCACTAGCCTGGAGGACAAAAGCTCAGGGACAGTGCCCAGGCAGGCCCGGAGTTCAACCCCAGGACTGGCAAAATAAATAAAAATTAAAAATAAATTTAAAAAATCCACATTAGCAAATGTTCACATTCTATTCAGATCATCTTGGACAGCCCCAAATATGTAACTCACAAAGCTCATCTCATAGAGAACCTTAGTTATCCAGAACAGAGCTAAATATAAGATTATTTGTTCTCTAGGGGGAAAAAAAGCATAAAAACTAAAGGAAAAAAAAAAACCCATTCGGAAGGGCACGCATTGGATACATTTCTATTTAATCTCAGTTTCGCTCTAACTGCCTCTGAAGCGAAGCCTTTTGGAAAACAACTAGGAACCAGATACACAAGACACGTGAGGCTCTGAGTATGGCCTGAGGTCCCGGCCGACCCAGCCAGGGGACACACAGGGTCGCGTGGAGCTTTGTCACTACCGCCCAGTGCAGCCTGGGAAAGACCGCTGTGGCGGCAACGGCTAGCAGCCTACCTTTACAATACCAAGATCAAATAAAATGCCATCCGTTATTTACTTATTTAGCGTTGTGCTGAGACTAGGGCTTGAACTTGGGGCTTCCAGCTCCATCTCTGCTTTCTTGCTCATGGCTGGCGACCTACCACTGAATCCATGCCTCCACTATGACTTTTTGCTACTTGTTTTGGAGACAGAGTCACACAGACTTTTCTGCCTGGGCTTTGCCTCCAGTCACGATCCTCTGGAGCTCAGCTTCTACACAGTCGTTAGGATTATAGGCATGAGCCATTCCCATTCAGCCCAAAGATGGTTTCTGAAGACTGAACTAGCTTACCAGATTCTGCTTCAGATTCTGCTTCTATATCTAAATGCATATCCTATACACGTATCTCTCTTCTGCTTCTCTTTGAATTGCTTCAAGGACAAACCGTGCCAATAAGGCTAATGTCAGTGGTGGTAGAGTAGATTCATTAGGAACACTGATGTCTGGAGGACCATGGACAGGAAGAGGCATTGGGCTCTCTTGTAGCAGTGCTGAAGTTCATCAAGAATGCGGCCCACCCAAGCTTCCTCATGGAGGAAGGCCAAAGTCTTGGATGGGCAGGTGGGCAGGGAACATCTGCCCCCATCTTTAGAGTTGAGAGCTGGGTGCCTTCCATCTCAGGCCAGGCCCCCAGGGAAGCGTGCGAGGAAAAGACCAGGCTACAATTACAGAGTTATTCTTCCAGCTGAAACCAAATCCAAGACTTCACTTTTGCTGTGCAGCCAGTAATCACCCAGTCACAGAGAGAAATTAGTAAGTGGAGGAGTTAGGTTCGAGCTGAGAGGAGAGCATGGCCGCGAAGAGGCCCATTTAAAGGAAGATGAAATTTCGTGGCTTAGGTAATAGAGACTGTCGGGGAAAACTGCTGATTCTACATCCTTCCTGGTATTAATTCCAAAGGGGAGGGAAAATGAGAAGGTGGCCAAACAGAATTGAAATGGGGGCGGGGGGAGGAGATAGCAACCGGTTCCATGATCGGGTGTCTGTATTTCATCTCCTTAAAAAAAAAAAAATCTACTTGGTGGTGCGTGACATTGATCTGTAGCCTATAGGACCACCTTCAGGTTGCTAAACTCTTCCTGTATGTCTTTTACCTTACTGAAGTTATCTTCCTAATCAATCAGTGGTTTCTACTGTTATTTTCTCCACATTAAAACAAACAAGCGACATAAATGAAGCCAAAAAAAAAAAAGTCTACCATGATCTACCGAGGATGCTGGCTGAATTGCTTTGAGACTCAAATCAGGATGAAAGGTCTAGAAAAAAACGATCTTCCACTTGTGCACTGGTGTGAAATGCATACGACAAAGGCATAAAATTAAAGCAATGGCAAGCTGTGGGCAGAATTCACATTTTACTGAAGAAGCAAAACTCGAGTTTGAAGGTAGCACTGGTGGAGGGGAAGGAGGAGGTTGTATAAGTTAATGCTGCTGGCATTGTGTCCAGAAACTTCCATTAGCCATCATGCTACATACTCAACTAAGCTCAAAAGGAGTCTTTTTTTTTTTTTTAAAGGAGTTTTGGGGGAATTTTAGTTTTAACAAAAGAGAGGTTACAAGCTGGTTCTTTAACCGAACAGTTTTATCTTTGCTACTGGGAGAAACTTTAAAAAGAAAGGAACCCCCTAAACTAGAAGAGGCTGCCGTACACCCAGGTGTAGGGAGATACCCCGGAAAGATTTATGCTTCACTAGAATCTCAGCACAGGACCCGAGGCCTGAGGTTCAAATCTGAGAACACACGAATGGGCTTTGACCAAGTCTTCATCCAGAACTGGCCCACAGGCCCGGGCTCAAACCAAACTTCTATGGTGGAGAAGAGTCACGAATTGGTTTTGAAAACCATAGGATCTTGGCTGTTTCACCCTTCATGAGGTGGCCTGCCTGCCCCAGGCCTCTGCTCTGAACTTCCAGTTTGTCCTACTTGCTCCCTTCCTCTTGTTTCTGGGGCAGGCGCTGCTGCTGCCGCCGCCTGCTTCTCAGCTCCAAGCTCCCCAACTGCAGGGCTCACCCTCAGCCAGCCACACAGGCTACTCCTTGGTGCTCTAATGGCTCTGGAGGCCAGCACACACACAGGTGTGCAAGGAACAAGGGCAAAGCAGGCAGAGGTGTGAAGGCTCAGTCCCCTGGTGATCTCACCTCACAGTACTTCAGCCTGGACAGATTGCATATGGGTGGTGTGTACCCGCCAGGCGGCCGCCAGGACAACAGCGGCTCATGCCCAGGAAGCCTCCGCCATTACTGCTGCGTTTACCCAGTCAAAGGGTCTAAAGAAATGGCTGGGAAAGCGGACAACTTTCCCTCTGGGACCAAACAGCATATGGGACCTCACAGGTACCGAGCAAAGAAACCATCTTATGTTTACTTTCTGGTTTCTATAGTTTTACAAAAGTCTGTTAAAAACAAACAAAATACCACTTACATCAACAGCAGCCAAGCGTGAGTGTTCGCGTAAAACCAACCCACCAACCAACAGCCAAAACTATTAACCACAATGTGTGTTGTAATTTTCCCTCTCAAGGAGATAGGACCAAGGGAAGGACATTGAAAACAATCCCCGGCCTTTCCATGCATACGCCTTTGTAGATTACAGACCCCTCACCTCACAACACAGCTAATTGAAATGCCTCCTAATTTAAATGTCTCACATCTTGGCACAATCAACTCTAGAGTTTCAGCGGCTGGAGGTGGAAATGTGAAAGCCACACACAGGGACCAGCCACTTTTGCTTCTTGATTAGAAGTCTTGGAGAGAGATCTTTTGCTACTTTTGAGTTTCCTAAGTGTCCTGTCCACTGCAGCTGGGAAGGGACAGGTTATACATGCAAAAGGAAGGAGAGCGGAATGTAGAGATAGGAAATCAAAGGCTGCCCCGGGCCCGTACCCCTCAAGTACCCTAGATTCAAGTGGGCACCGAACAGGACAACTCAAGAAAGCCTGGAGCTGTCCCTTCCCTGGGGAAAGGCTCCGGGCTGCACCTTCGGGCCTCGCCATCTTCCCGGGTGTTTTCAGGGCTCTGCCTCTCAAGAAAACAACTAAGAGAAGCAAAGCCGGGGGTCCTCCGACGCCCGGGCCAGTGAGTCCTGGCCTGGCCACCGGCCCCAGGCCCAGGCCTGGACGGAACCTTTGGAGATCGCTCCGTCCTTCTCCCCCCGCCGCCCTCCCACCCCGGCCCTGCTGATGAACCCGGTGCAGGCCAAGCACTGGGGCACCACCGGGCTTGACTCCCCGATGGCGGTTTCTTGTGGGGGGGCCTTACGAGCTCAAGCCTTGGGTGTCTTCTGACTGTCCCCAGCCCCAGGGCCTGGAGAGAGCGAGCCCTGGGCTGCCGTCCCCGCAGGGCGCACCTCTGCGGTCTGCAAAGCTGGGGTGGGGTGGGGATGGGGGGGCGCGGGGTGCAACCTTGCGCCCTCCTCTTCCCCCCCCCCCCCCACGCGCAAACGCAGCACCGACTCGAGGGTCTGGTTTCGAACCCCCTCTTGGAGCGTGCCGGGTGGCGTGGGTTCCCTCTGGGGATGACCTTAGATCCAAGGGGTTACCCCCAGCCTGGCCGTGCGCACCCCCCACCCCCACCCCGGCCAGGCTCCCGCTGGTGCCGTCGGAAGGGAAGGACCCGCCTCGCCCTCACCTTGGTGAACTTGACCTCCAAGTTGCGGATGGGGCGCGGCAGGGCCGGCGGCGGCTTCTTGTCGGGCTGCCCGTTTTCCACGGCCCCATTGGTGGTGGCCATGGCTCACTCCGCGCTCCCGGGGGTCCCCCCCCCACCCCCAGGCTGCACCGGGTCGCCGGGGTTGGGGCTCGGTGCGCAGCCTGCGCGCGCGCGGGGTGACAGCTCCGCGCCGGCCGCCCGCTTTTTCTATGCAGCGCCCCACGCCTCCCGCCCGAGGGGGCGTCCCATTGGCTGCCGGACCGGGAAGGGAGGACGGCGGCGGCCCGGGGAGGGGCGGAGGGGGCCGGCCCGCCTCACCCCACCCCGCCCGCCCGCCGTCCCCGCGGGGCCCCGGCCTCCCCCACCCCCCGTCCCCGCCAGGCCCGCCCGGGCTCGGGCCGTGCGCCCCGGGCGGCTGCGCTTCCCCGGGGAGCCCGGGGAGGGGGTCCTGCCCTGCGATCTCCCAGCCTCGGGGTTCGGGGGGGGGGGGGAGTTCTCTCGGACGAGCTCCCTGAAGGGCCACCCGGCTCCGGAAGTCCCCAGGCTGAGCTGGCACAGCGATCTGGGGCGCAGGGATCGCCGCGTCGGGCTCCCCCCTCCCCAGCCCCCCCCCCCCCCGCCATCCCGCGGGTTTGGCTCAGGCACCTGCCGCCTTCCCCCGTCCCCGAAGTCCGTGGTAGCGCCCCGCTGCCCTCTGAGGATGAGCGATCGGTCTAGGGGTCCCCCCACACCCCCTCCCGCGCCCCTCACCGCGCCTCTCCGCCGGCCGGGGATCTGCCGTTCCCCCTGCGCGCCGCTGCCCGCGCTCGTCCCCGGCCTGGGGTCTCCGCGGGCGGGACCGACGCGCAGGGCACACCCGAAGGTCTGACTCCCCACCGCCCACCAGGATGGACCCCGGGGCCAGGGTGGACCTCCGCGCCCCCCACCCATCCCCCCCGGAGCCCCGCTGGCCCTGGGGCTCCCATACTCCAAGGAGAAAGTGAAGCACCCAGCCCAGGACCCTGGATGGGATTCTTTCGCTTCTTAATAACGCATCACCTCAATTTTAAAAGTGAAAAAGAGAAAGGGGGTGGGGGGGGGTGGGTGGGAGATGGAAAGCAGGTTTTAAGCTCCTTGTTTTCAGGGTGAAAGTCCCTGGCTTGAACAAGCTAGGAGGCAGAGACAAGCAAGTCTGTCTTCACTGTTTGGCCATTTGGGGAACCTCCCCCCCCCCTCAGCCCCCACCCTGGAGACTGGCCCAGGCCCCATGGGAGACACTCGGGGCTCCTCTCCCGCATGCTGTCCCCATACCACGTGAGCCTGAGACCGGAGCCCCCAGGCCCAGAGGCCCCCCAACCTCCCCAAAGCAGAGGCTTCCTCCTGGGCCAGGCTCTGCCTCTGCAGCCCACCTTCTGGAAGTCATTCCAGATGGCGCCAGTGGGAGGCGCTGCTTTCCTGAGGCTCCTTCGGCCTGTTTTTTTTTTTTTTTTTTTTTTGGGGGGGGGGGGGTCTCCCGGACCTCTGGCCTGTGTGCCTTTCCTTTCAGGTGTCCTGGTTAGGTGGTGAACTCTGAAACCTTTGGGGAGTCCTCACCTGCTGGAATGTAGGTGTCAGGGGAGGGCTGGGGAAGGTGGACACACAGCCCCTGAATGAAAGCTAGATAGTCTCTGTCAGCTTCTGTGATGCTAGGTCACTAACTGGGGGAGGGAGGTCCTCAATGAAGCCAATCCCTCCACCCCCCCCTCAATTCCTGGCTTCTTGCCCTTAAGCCAGGACTCATGGCTACCGAGCAGATAGATGTGTTGCCTCCAGTTGACCAGGCTGCACCTGAGCACAGGCCAAAGACTCAGGACTGGTGGGTGCATTGAGATTCTGGGAGCAGTAACTCTCCTGCCCAGAGTTGATCTGCAGACGTGGGTGGGTTCAACTCAGGTTACTTTGCTAGAGCTTAAACCACGTGAAACAAAACAAAACAAAAAACCACACTCTGGTATGGATGGATCACACCAGTGATTCTTGCTACTCAGGAGGCTGAGGTCTGAGGATCCAGGTTCCAATCCAACATGGGCAGGGAAAAAAAAAATCTCTGTGACTCTTATCTTTATTTAAACAGCAAAACAAGAGCTAGAAGTAGAGGTGTGAATCAAACATGAGAGTGCTAGCCTGAGAGAGAGAGAGAGAGAGAGAGAGAGAGAGAGAGAGATCTTAAGTTCAAATCACAAAACCACCACCACCATCACCACCACCAAAGCCCTTGACGTGGATGGCGAGAAATAGTGTTCCCTAAACCATTGCTGGGGAGATGGGGGAGGGAAACAGGGCAGAGGTTGAGAAACAGCTCTTTGTAGGAGTTCAAAACAGATGGCTGTCCCTTTATAAGCCACTAAGTCAAGAAGGCGGGCAGCCTCTGCCCCCACCAAAGCCACCCTTATGACTGAGGAACCAGCTTTGGGAGAGGCTGCGCTGACACACACAAGATCACCTGTGGCGTCTCCTCCTGTGAATTCCCATGTGACCCTGGGAGCCTGGGATCAGAGGGAAACAGAGTCACACATGGGCGCAGCAGGAGGTCAGGAGGGAGGCTTGGTTGGGGCTTGCCCAGACCAACAGGCGCTTCCTGGCTCTGCTCAGCTTGCCATTCGGCAGGCAGTGGGAAGCCACGATACTCTGCGCCCATTTTACAGAGGAATAAGGAGAGGCATGTGGATACACGTTCCAGACTTCACTGGTTTGGAGATGCTGAGGGCAGACTGCCTGAGGGCAGAGGCGCCGGCTGTGGGGGAGGGGGTCCTCTGTTTCTGGGTCCCCTTATTTACTCAGGGGAGCACCAGTGTCTCAAGTACCTAAGGGGGTGATCCCAGGGGCTGAAGGAATGTATGTGCCAGTCCTGGGGATTGAACTCAGCCAAGGGCCGCTGTCCCTTAGCTTTTCCAGTCAAGGCTGGTGCTTTACCACTTGAGCCACAGCTCCATTTCCGGCTTTTTGATGGTTAACGGGAGCTAAGAGTCACATGGAGTTTCCTGCCCAGATCCCAGCCTCCTGAGTAGCTAGGATTACAGGCGAGAGCCGTTGGTGCTTGTCTAGGACTCCTTTTTGCTCACTGAGTTTCTGGGGGTGGCACTGGAGGTTCATGGAGGCCCTGATCCTTCTGGCCACATCCTCCCCTGATTCCAGCTGTGTGCTCCTGGGTGGGACTGGGAGCTCTCTAATGCTGCTTTTTCTTTTCTATTACATGCCCCCCCCCCCTTTCATACTTTACAATGTTTGGGGAAACTGACATAACTGGAAAGTGTTGTACATGGCCAGTTCTTAGTTTTCCTCTTTCTCCCTGAGTCTGGGTCCTAGCAGCAGGAAGTCAGCAACCTGTTTACTCTCCTTTCTGGCTTGTGGGAGCTTTAGCAGCCTACGATTCGCCTCTTAATTTCATTGGGGCAGGGGGAACATTTTACTTTTCAAAACAGTAGCCAAACTATCACTAGCCAGTGTTAGTTGTCAAGTCTGAGACATTTCAGGACCTGTTGGTTTGCTAAACACTCAGTCAAAATGAACATGAATGAAAAACTAAAACAAAAGAGAAATTCCCTTGTCCTCCCTGCCTAAGTCCATTCTTTTTTATTTTTATTTTTGTACTATCCTGGTGCTTGAACTCAGGGTCTGGGCACTGTCCCTAAGCTTTTTGTGCTTAAGGCTAGCACTCTACCACTTGAGCCATAGCTCCTCTTCTGGCTTTCTGGTGCTTAATTGGAAGATAAGAGTTTCACAGACTTTTCTGCCCAGGCTGGCTTTGAACTGGGATCCTTAGATCTGAGCCTTCTGCATAGCTAGGATTACAGGTGTGAGCTACCAGCACCTTTCTAAGTCAAAGCCTTGGTGGGAATTGTTGAGCCCTGGAGCAGATATGATGAATAACAACAAGGGCAAAAGCAGAGCCCACAGTTCATTTAACTTTATTTCAAGATTGGTGTCTGAGCCTTTCTGAGGGGTGCCTGGACTTTCAAGGGAATCCTACCCTCCCATAACTGCCTCCTTCTACCCAGGCTGCTCAGTGACTGGTAGCTGAGGCCAGGGCCAGGGCTCTTCCTCTGCAGCTTCAACATGGTCTCTGAGATCCAGGGCAGGAGACCTCGGCTCAGTTCTCCTGGCTATGGAAGGTAGGAGAGGGAAACATGTGGCCTGGAGCCGAGGGGAGTTTGGTTTGTTTATGAGGGGCTCCCTCCTGGTGTCCATTTAGATTCTGCGTTTGTGCGAATCACCCAGCATTGGCTCTGGTAGGAATGGGAACCTGTTTCTCTTTCAAGCTCACTGTAAATGAAGCCCTTTTGCAACCCACCCCCGTTCTGTGCTCACATGCACGGCCACCCATTTCCCTGTGAGTCTTCACCACGGTGTGAAGTCAGCTTTCTATTACTATAACAAAACACCAGAGGGAATCAGCTGAGGAGGAGGAAAGGTCTGTCTTGGTTCCTGGTTTCCAAGGGCCGTCCATGGTCACTGGGCTCTGCTGTTTTGCCACCTACCCTGCTGTCACAGGAAGCTGGCACACCTCAGCTGAGAGGTGAAAGGAAGAGGAAGTCAGGAAGAGGCCAGGAAGAGGCCACCCCCCCATGACATCATTTCCTCCTGCCAGGCCTCATTTTTCAAAGGCTTCTCCTCTTACTAGTGTCAGCAGTTGGCAACTAAGCCTTCAACACCACATGGGCTGTGGGGGACATTGAATGCCACAATAGTGATCCTAGGAGAGTCAGAAGAAAGAAGGGAGGGCGGAAGCAAAGCAGGTAAGGAGGGAAGGGCCGCCACCCACTGCTCCCTTCGTGGCTTTCTCTTCAGCCATGATGGTCCCTGTTCAGCCTGGAGGGAACATCTTCCACCCATATATTAACCTGGTAACTTCGATTTAGACCAGGCAGAGGCAAAGAGAGAAGTAACTTTATAAAATAGTTGTGGCTCTGGCTTTGGCTAGACCGCACCCAAAGAACCTGACGGTTCATGGGCTTCTGGAACTTTTTCCCCTGGTCTACCTTCCAATGTTGAGAAGTAGTGACAAGGCCAGGAAAGCACACAATGAAGTTGACACCAGATGAGACTCCTGGTTTCCTCTTCTTTCTGGCCAGTGTTGAAGACAGCAGTGTGCTTTGCTTAAGCCATATATACCAGCTTCTTTTGTACACTGTAGAGTGGTGAA